CTTGCGTCCTTACCGCCCGTCCTCACTACAGACCTCGACCGTACTGCAGGTTCCGCGCAGCCTGTTTGGCGGGCTGCTGGGATCGGGCAGCGGGATGCGCGGCGGCTCCAGCAGCACCCCGCTCTTCGAGGTGCACTACGCCGTCGTGGCGGATGGCAGGGAGCTCCGGAGCACTGACCAGAAGAAGGAGCCGGCGACGGCGCCCCTGCGGGCCAACTACTACCACTGCGCGAAGTTCCCGCACGCAAGCAAGGACGAGGCCTGGGGCTGGCAGGGGGGGGCGTGCCGGAGGCGGCCCAGCAGTGGCTACAGCCCGCAGGGCTCCGGAGGAGGAAGGGACCGGGCGCGGCGCAAGTGACAAGTGGGGGGCGGTGAGTGAGGCGGGGCGGAGAGAGGTGCACCACACGGGGCACGAGAGGTGCACGTGTCTCTCCCCCTCCCCCCCTTTTATCGCCCCTCTTGCACTCACCGAAGGAGATCAAACAGTATACACAGAAGCTTTTGACGCTCCGCGCGGGTTTCTTGGATCCGCGCTGGGCCCCCACGGCGGCGCCTCCGGCGCCGCCTCTGGCGCGCTCCGCGCGCCAGGGAGGGGGGTCAGCGCGGATCCCAGAAATCAGCGCTGAGCGCAAAAAGTTTATGTTTATGCCGTTTTCTCGTCTTCTATTATTGTCGCCCCCCCCCTTAGTTAAGCAACGGCCGAAGAGAGGGGCTTCTTCGTCGCAGCGGCTGGACGCGGCTCCAAGAACCTGTCAGCTTCGACCCAGGGGGCCGGTTTTGAGTGGATCTGTTCTGCGCTCGCCCCCCCCAGCCGCTTCCAAGACGAGGCCTTCCCGGCGTTCGTCCACAACGAGGTGCACTTGTTGCAGTCAGGACAAAAGACCAGCAAGGAGTTCATGACTCGATTCATCCACTTGGTGCAGTCGCCCTTTGCGCAGAAGAGGTCCTTGCTGGAGCAGGCGCTGGACGAGCTGATCGTTCAGCACTGGGGCCCTGACGCCCCCGCCCCTCAGCAGACGGTCCTCGCCGTCGCGGCGACCCTCGGGTACTTCCGCCGACAGCGGAGCCAGGCTTACGTCGGGCACGTCCCTCTACAGGAGGAACATTCAAAAATCGTAAAACAACATAGCTTGGGGACGATTGTTTGAACATGTCACACATCTTTTTGGGTTCGTCCAGAATCCCCCTGTAGGGGGACACGCCCGACCTACAACCAGGCGCAGCACTCCTATGCCTTCGCGTCCCTGGGGTTCGATGCGGACTCGGACTTGCTGATGGGGGGGCTCAGCATGCCTGCGGCGGCGCAGGAGAAGGAGAAGGAGCCGCCAATGTCCCTGACCGTGTGCCGCTGGATCGTGAAACACTGCCCGGCGCGGGAGGACTTGAACCAGGACGCGGAGGAGGAGGAGGAGGAGGAGGAGGAGCAGGAGGAGGAGAAGAAGAAGCAGGAGCAGGAGAAGCAGGAGGAGGAGGAGAAGGAGGAAGAGGAGGAGGAGAAGAAGAAGCAGGAGCAGGAGAAGCAGGAGGAGGAGGAGAAGGAGGAAGAGGAGGAGGAGGAGCAGCAGAAGGATGAGGAGGAGGAGGAGGAGGAGAGGAGGGAGGAGGAGAGAGCAGGAGGAGGAGAGGGCAGAGGAGGAGGAGAAGGAGGAGGAGGAGGAGGAGGAGGAGGAGGAGCGGGAGGAGGAGGAGGAGGAGCGCCAGGAGCAGGAGGAGGAGGAGGAGGGAGCAGGAGGAGGAGGAGGAGGAGGACGAGGAGGAGGAGGAGCAGGAGGAGGAGCAGGAGGATTCAAGCTGGATTCAATCGGAGCAACAGCGTTGCGGGCCACAGCGCCCCAGCCCACCGGAGGCAATTGAGGCAGTGGCTTCAAGGGAGGACGGCGCCTTCGGGGATTAGTGGGTTTGACCCGCAGGCGCATCCTGAGAGAGAGTGAGAGCGGGGCCAGGATCGCTAGACGATCCAGCTCCGCTCACACTCGGGCGCCCCTGTCGGGCGTCAAACTCATCACGAGCCTGCATCGCCATCTTTACATCCTTAGGGGGCCCGTCACGACGAGGGTAGAGCCCCTTCCTCAGACGGGCCAAGTTTTCCAAGCCTTTCCGACTCGGACGGCATTCAGAGATAAGATGACGGGGGTCCACAGTAGCATAGGCCCCGCAGGTGTGACAAAAGGTCAGGAAGAATTGGTCCGCTCTGCCGAGCGAGTGCGACGGATGGACTTCAACTCCCTGCAAATTCAAACCGATACCCTGGGTGATCCTCTGAGCCCTGGGAGGGGGAGGAGCCTCAGGAGGAGGAGGGGGAGGGGTTAAACAGGGGCTCGAGCACAACTCCAGAAACCTTGACTGGGGCACAGCCTGGAGACACGCCTCGCAAACCCACACGGAGCCCCTCAGGTGGAGGCGGTGGGCGGAGGCAGCGAGAGCTCGAGCAACTCTAGACTTCGGCACCGCTTTGATGGGCACCGCATCTCTCTCTGCCTTCGACGTCTTGTCGGCGGCAGCAGCATCCTGGAGCGCACGACGGGCACGCCTCCTGATCATAGCAGCAGCAGAGTCGACCGCATCGGTCCGAGGAAGGTCCCCCACAAGCCCCCCCTCCCACGCCAACTCCGCCGCCCTCCCCGCCCAGATATCCGCAGCCATGTTACCCATGGCGGTGAGCATCTCTTGCTCACCGTTAAAACTCGCTCTCTCATCCGTGTGGGATGGGGTCCACCGAACTATGAGCTGGCCAGGCCTGGATCTCCACGACTTCCTAGCACGCTCCCAGAGGTCCTCCTGGAGACGCGAGGCCCTGGGATTCTCAAGGATAAACTTCCAAGACCTGGCTATATTCTTATGGTCAGTGACGAATTCGACATTGCCTGGAACATTCTCGAGCATGAGACAAAACGCGAGCAGCTCGGCCCTCGGGACAGACTGTTTCAGCCCGAGGAGAGGGACCGCAATGCCAGCACGATCCTGAAACTGACCCTGCTCATCAGGCGCTAGGGCCACGATAGCAGCTCCACAGCGGCGACGACGAGGATCGTCTGAGTGCTTCCCTCCAGACCCGTCCCCGTACACCACCGTCCAACCCCCCTCCTCACATTCATGAAAAGCGCCTGGCAGCCTGAGCTCGAGCTCGGCCAGCAGCGCCTCATCGAAGCGAGGCGTAGTCATGCAGACAGTGGGCACGCCTCGGAGCCAGAACGTTGGCTGGCTCTCATGCTGCGCTGTCGCCGCAGGCAGCAGCGAGGCAGTCTTGTCGTAGTCGTCGTGGTTGCCGTTGCACTCACAGGACCAAATCCTGTGGAACAGCGTCTCTGGATGCTTCTCGCACCGCGGGCATGTGGTCGACTCCAGCTTGTACCCGCAGAGATGCCTGCGAGTGCGGGTCCACTGCCCTCCAGCCACGACCGTCAAATTCAATCCATGTTCATCATGCTGGCCACGGGCCTGGTGACGCTTGAGCTCCCTCGTGATATGGAAGAAGTCACCGCCACCCGCCAGGCCCTCGCCATTGTCATGCTTACTTGCTTCTAACCACAGCGCCGAGCGGATGTCACCGATGAGGTCGTCGATCAGCTCTGTCGTCGAGCCGAAGTTCTCGAACACCTCGTCGCCGCTCGACGGGATGTGCCACTCATCAACTCCAGCACTAGTCGGGCGGGTCCAGACCGTCGCAGTCTTAGGATCCCACCCGACATCCATCAATGTAGCAATAACTGCTGAAATGGGGCCTCTGACAATGCTCCATCGCCGCTTCTCCGCCTTCGCAAGGCGGCCCCGAGTCGACGGCCACACAAGCCTGAGCCGCCGATGTAGTTGCGGCTGGGCCTGCCAGAAGCTGAGCCATTCCAAAACTAACTGCCGTCGTATCTCCACCGCAGGGTCCTTCAAGCCGAAAGACGCCGCCAGTGTGCTGGTCAAGCAACGCCCACCTTGGCCACCAGTGACGGCAGCACCAGCCTGGCGCCGCAGTGCCAACAGGGCCGACGGGGAGGTGCCATGAACTTGGTGCCCGTATGTAGACTGCGGGCACGCACCAGTCGCCCACAAGCCACGGGCCTCACGGCCAAGTGCAGCCATGCGCCTGAGCCTCTTGATGCGCCCAGCTCGTCGTTGCGCCTTGACTCGCCTCGAGATGGCCTTGGCACAAACTCTGCGCCTGGCGGCCGCAACGTCGACGCCGAGGTCGACGCCCTGCAACACTGGTCTCACTGGAACTCCTCTCGCACGCAACCTCTGTGCCGACTTCTTGGCCAGGGAGGACGACGAGCCAAGAATCACAGACTTGGAGGAGACAACCAAACGATGCTGCTTCAACCCTTGAGCCAAGGACGTGCCCACAACATCCATAGCAGGTAATACCGCTTCCGCAGAGCCTTCGCACCGTCCCACCGTATCGTCAATGAACGTCCACAGTGACGCCGACGGGGCCTCCTGATGCACTCTCTCCAGAATGGGATAGAGGGCCAGCTTGGAGAAGGGAACCCCATGAGACGAGCCAGCCACAATGCTGCGTGTAGGGAAGATCGCCTCGCTGAGCCAGCCGCGCTCGCGCAGGTAGCGCGGGTGGAGGTAGACCTGCACCTCAAGGCCCATGACCGTCGGACTGAAGCCGAAGTCCAGGCCAATCTGGAGGAGGCCCACCAGCGAGACGCTGTCGTAGAACTTCTCGATGTCCAAGAGGAGGACCAGGAAACTGATCTGCTGCTCCTGGGCCGCCTCGTCGAGTGTCGCCCTCAAGAGGGCAGCGCGCAAGGCTGAAGAGCCACGCGCTGCTGTGTCCCAGAACGCAGCACGCGCAGGGCACCATTGCGACGTGAAGGCCTGGCGAGCACGCGACCACAGCTTGACAGGCAACGGCACCATGCCCAGCACACGATCTCCTTCCCCCGAAGGCTTCGGGGCAAGGGCAGAAAGAGTGGCCGCCAGCTGCAACGGCCATGCCTGGGCTGCCTCACATCGCTGGAAAAGGTCCCTGAGCTCCTCAAGGGCCTGGGTCGGGAGGCGGCTCAGATCGCCAGCATCAAGCCCATCAACTCCACGAGCCTTCTTGTTGCCCGTGACTCGGATAGCAGCCTGGAGCTGCTCGCAATGCAGCGGCGGGATGTCCTCCTCAGCTGCTTTGCGTCGTATAGCACTCAGCGCTTGAATGATGCTAGCTGGGGTATCCACTGCATCGCTCCAAATCTTGCCCCACTTCGTCGACTTGTTGGCCATGATCGTGATGGGGTCAGCCACCGCATTGGCAACAAAGGAACTGGGCGTGGTCTCCACCGTGGCATCCTCAGGCCGAGGGGCGACAGGGTCACGGACGTGTCGGTGGAGGGCGCCAGGGGAAATGCGCCACATGCGACGGACCCAGTCAGCGTAGGCCTTGCGAGCCTTGCCAATGCCCCCCCGCCACCTCACAAGCTGCAACCGCCTCAACTGCGACCACGACCTGACACAACCCCTCAACCATCTGGTCGCTGGTAAGACTGTGGACCCCTTCGTGTAAGGAGACAATCTGATCAAGAGCCGTCTTGGCTCTGTCTTGTAAGTCAGGTCGCCGATCCAAGTGGTACTGTCGCAGATGCTGAACTCGACCAGCAGCACTGGCCAACGCACTACACATCTGCTCACCATCCTTGTCATGGAGGAATATGGCCAAGGTCCTCCTGCAGAGTGTGTCCATAACCGACCAATGTTCAGCACCATCATATTTCCAATGGCCTCGACCAGGCGGCGAGACCGACTTCTTCCACGTGACTGCAAACCCTCGGGCTCTGCCAATGAAAGGCGCACGCTCCAGGGCCGTGAGGTTCGGGTCAAGGAGGGACTGCTCGACCTGGCTGACCCACCTGCCATTGTCTTGGGATAGCTGGTCGTTCCCCTCGAGTGCCCACGAGACGATAGGAGACTCGCCAATCATGCGCATCTCCGCCGTGAAGGTGTACTTCGGGCAACCGTATCCATCCGCTCCAGAGGGCGAGTTAGAGTTCCATCGATCCAGGCTGACTTCAAAGACATCGCCAGTCAGACCTTGAGGGTCAGGGGGCTGATGGAGCTCATGAAACGCATTTTGATGATCTGGAGGCAAGGCCTCCTTGCGCCTCTGGAGGGCTGCTTGCTTGCGCTGGTAGGTCTTGCTCTGCGGGTCAGGGGCCGTCGGTGGCCGATCCACAGCAGGGAGCGGCCGCGGCAAGACCAAAGCGCGGTGCCACCATGCCGTCGACGTGCCCTGTATCTCAACGTGGAGGCCACAGTGGACCTTCCAAGGAACAGTGAGGACACCCTTGACTGAGACTAAGTCTGCCACCGACACTGACGCCACCGCATAGTCAATGAGGGACCCCGCGCCCTTGTCGCAGGTGACACGGACATCTGGGAGAACGATTGTGCCTCCCACATCCTTGAGGAACGAGTTCCGCTCCAGGGCCGTCGGGGTCAGGTTCCAATCTGCAACAATGATCCACGGGTCAGACACTGATGCCAAGAAGGCACGTAGAGAAGCCCATCTATCAAGATTGAGGCCTCCGAACCCGTGCTTGGGCAAGAAGTAGGCCGCGATAACAATGAGGTTGCCTGCTCGCAGATGCCAGACAGTTGGGACCCAGCCACGGCAGGGATCCTTCAGGCGCCCCTTGGTCATCAGGGCCCTCTGCCGATCGAAGGACGTGGTAGCAAGATGGGATCGCGCCAAAACCCACTCACCTCCACTCGTGCCCTCCGCGGACCGACCCGTGCCCACCGCAGCACAAGCCGATAACTTCCAACCATCAACGTCCAGATTGGCACGATACTGAATGAGCTTCGCCTCGGTGACGTGAGTCTCCACAAACGCCATCATGCCATACTTACTCTTATGTTCCACCACAAACTTGTGGATACGGGGCCCCCATCCCGTGACATTCGCAAAGAAGAGAGACGCACCAGCACAGTGAGTTGCCTCCGTCTCGGCCGAAGACAGCACTGGCTGACAGGGGGGGGGTCCGTTCCTCACGAGCCGACCGTGTGTCTGCTGACGCCACGCAGCTCGCCCGTGTCTCCATCCCCGAAGAGCGGGCCAGATGGAGGCTGCCACTCCCCGTAGTAGACTGTGACGCCACCATCGGAGCTGACGATGCCACGCAGCTCGCTCGTGCCCCCATCCCCGTAGAGCGGGCCAGATGGGGGTTGCCAGACACCAAAGTAGATGGCGCCAACTCCAATGTCTGTCGTGCCTCCATCCCCGAGGAGCGGGCCAGATGGAGGGTGCCTGTACTCGGAGCCGACGGAGCCAACTCCAGTGGAGCTGAAGATGCCACGCAGCTCGGACGTGCCCCCATCCCCGAAGAGCGGGCCAGATGGAGGATGCCTGGTCTCGAGGTCGAAGGGGCCAACCTCGACGGAGCTGACGATGCCTCGCAGCTCGCTCGTGTCCCCACCCCCGTAGAGCGGGCCAGGTGGGGGCTGCCTGACAACGAGGTCGGAGACGACAACTCCGCTGTCGCTGAAGATGCCACGCGGCTCGCACGTGCCTCCACCCCCGAAGAGCGGGCCAGATGGAGGATGCCTGGGCTCGAGGTCAACGGAGTCGGCCTGCACGGAGCTGACGATGCCTCGTGCCTCGCTCGTACCCCCATCCCCGAAGAGCGGGCCAGCTGGGGGCTGCCTGAGGCCGAGGTCGAAGGTGCCAACTCCGATGTCACTGATGCCTCGCAGCTCACTCCTGTCACCGCTGGGCGGGCCAGGTGACTGTCCGTGTGCGCGCCTTGCATAGAGCTAGGCGCAGAAAACTGATGGTACCCCAAATCCTTTCCAAAGCAATCGTCGTCGCTGAACTGCATGTCCTGAAGGGGGTCGATATCCACATCATCCAGTGTGGTGCTACCCCTTCTTCGGAGGGGGGGCCTTGGCACGAGGTGGAGGCCGACCATCGCCACCGCCGCCAGGGCCAGGAGGAGCAGCTGCCACGCCGACATCCGCAGGGGACCTCGCAACAGGGCACGCCTTCGCAGCAGACTGCTCGAGCCGCTCCCGTGCAGCCTTGACCTTGGAGGCACGGGCCTTGGCCTCAGCGTCCGACGGGGCTGCTGCTGGGGCTGCTGCCGCGGCCGCCGCCTTGGCTCCCACGGTGCCAGTTGCGGTGCCCACCTCGGCGCCGCCTTCAGCCTTCGTGGCTGGGCCCAGCGAACCCTCAGCGTCGACTGCGGAAGCCGTCGCCTCTGGGCCAGCCGCCACCTCCACCACGCGCCGCCTCTTGAGGGGCGCCTGCGCTGCAGCCAACTTGACCCCCTCGAGGGCCGTCTGGACGGCGTGGATGACCGCCGCAGCCTGGTCCTTGGCCTCATCCATCGCCGTGAGGGCCGTCTGCAGCTTGTCCTTGGCCTCTCCATCCTCGTACTCCTCAATAGAAATGCTCTTGAGCTTATCTTCATATGCTGCCAAGAAATCGGGCACAGACTCGGGCTTGACCTCCGAAGCCGTCTGGCCACGCACGTTGTTGTAGGCCAGGACCGCGGCCTCGTGGGCCTCCTCAGCGTCCACGAGCTCCTCCATGGCCTGATCGTAGTCCTGGCGCGCCTGCTTGAGGCGCGTCTCCAAGTTGGAAATCTCCGAGAGAAAGTTGTGTGCATTGGTGGCCGCCTGCTTCGCCTTGGCCTCCGTCGACTGGAGCTGCTCCAAGGGTGTGCGCGACCTCGGCAACGCGGGCGTCTCAACTGCCTGCTTGATGGCGAGAACTGAAGCCGTAACCGAAGCATCTTGCTGCACGAGGGCCTCAAGCTGGTTGATGAGCTTCGCCTTACCCCAGGGGCTGAAGATCGCAGGAGATGAAGCGGCAGGCACGGCTGGCCCTGGCCCCTTCGGCGATCCTCCCTTGGGCTTGTCCTTCTTCTTCCTCGGAGAGTATAGCTGCTGCGTCTGTCCACACACCGAGCAAGCTCCGCCGTTCTTGATGATACGCCAGTTCCAATCCCACTGCTTGCCAGCGCGGCAAGACGGGGTCGGGCACATGGTGTAGCTCGTGCGAGGCTGCTGCGGCGGCGCCATGGCAGGCTCTGGTGTGAAGGGGAAGGGGCTTGTACCGTCGCACTGCTCGCGACGGGATCGGAGTCCCCTGAAATCACTGTCGGGCTGAGCAGCCCTGGCACTGGCCGCGGACTAGCGGTATCCACGTGTTCCCCTGTGGAACAAAGCATCTTGAGCCAAAATGGCTACGGAGGAGGAGCAGGAGGAGGAGGAGGAGGAGGAGGAGGAGGAGGAGGATGAGCAGGAGGAGGAGCAGGGAGGAGGAGGAGGGGGGGGGAGGAGGAGGGGGAGGAGGAGGAGGAGGAGGAGGAGGGGGAGGAGGAGGAAGGAGGAGGAGGCGGAGAGGAAGAGGAGGAGGCGGAGGAGGAGGGAATGGAGAATAGGAGGAGGGGGGGGTAGGCAGGAGGAGGGGCGGAGAAGGAGGAGGAGGGGGAGGAGGAAGGAGGAGGAGGAGGAGGAGGGGGAGGAATAGGAGGAGGGGGGAGGAGGAGGGGGGGAGGAGGAGGAGGAGGAGGAGGAGGAAGGAGGAGGAGGAGGAGGAGGAGGAGGAGGAGGAGGAGGAGGAGGAGGAGGAGGGGGAGGAGGGGGAGGAGGGGGAGCCCCGCGCCGCCGCCCTCGGCGGGCGCCCGACGGCACCTCGGCGGACTGCCGGCGGCCTCCCGCGGACTCCGGGCGGACTCCGGCGGAGTTCTCGCCACGGCTCGGGCGTCCACTCCCCGCGCCTCTGTGCGGCTTCGTGCGTGGCTCTCGTGGACCGATGGTCCAGGATGCTCCTCGAGGGCCCTCGCCGAGAACAAAAAGTCCACTCCCCGTGCCTCTGTTCGGTTTCGTGCGTGGCTTTCGTGGGCCGATTGTCCAGGATGCTCCTCGAGGGCCCTCGCCGAGCACAGAAAAGGCACACGCCCGAGCGGTGCCGGGAGTTCGACGGGTCCCCAGTGAGTTCCGGCGGGTTTCGGCGGATTTCGACGGATGTCCTCGGTTGTTCCACGGAGTTCGCAAGATTGCCGTTGGTTTTGAACGGATTTCGATTGATGTTCGACGGATATCGACGGATGCCGATGATTCCCCACGGAATTCTACTATCGTGGGCCTTTGAAACGGCAGGGCGACTTTTGATTACAGGTTTCATGTTTGATTATTTGTTTGTTTTCGGTTCCGTCCCACTTGTGTTCGTTCTGGTTCCGATTCTGGTTCCGATTGCAACTCAATGTTTGTTTCAATTTCGGTGAGCCTGTTTGTCTTTACCGCTTTTCAGAGACAAGAGTCGGCGGACATTTGGAAACTGTAGAAACTGCTCTGTCGTGTCCATGGCCCACTAGATTTCAACAGATTTCGACTGATATTCGACGGAGGTTCAGTGCTCGACGGAAATCTGGCAGGTCCTCGACGGTCTCGGAGGTCGATCCGCTTCGATGTATAGACGTTGGCGGCACTCGGCGGCTCTCGAAGACCCTCGGAGTCTTTCGGGGGCTCCCAGGCAGGTCGACGCGGCGGCAGGCGCCGCCGTCATCGTCGCCGTCGCCGCCGCCGAGGGGTCGAAGATCCAGGGTCAAATTTCTGCACGACGTGTCTAATTATCTGGGGGCGACTATCGCCGCCGTCGCCTCCATTATCACCGTCTTCGCCAGCTTTGTTTTCCTCGCCGTCGCCGACGCCTGCTCCTCCACGGAGAGGGGAGGAGGGACGGAGGGAAGACAGAGGAAGGGGGAGAACAGGGGGGAGGAGGATCTCGAGTCGGGGGGCGACTGGCAGGACAAAGCGTTGAGGGAAGAGGCTAGGGCCATGCATCGACTCACCAAGTTGGAACAGAAATGGAACCCTGCATGAACTTTGGACGTGGCTTGCCCTTTCTCAGCCGCTGGAGGGCATCCCGGGACCTCCAGAATCTCTAGAGATCTCTGGGAGGAGAGGGAGAGGGAGAGGAAGAGACCCCTACACCCAACGTCTTGAATCCACCACAACAGGTTGTCTGGATTTCGGCATCTGGGGAGCCGATTTCGGGCTCCGCGGGGATCCAGCTGGGAACTGGACAGTGTCTCTGGGAAGGGATGCAGGAGGATCAAACTATCAGGCAGGAGGAGGATGAACAATCAGGCACGAAGAAGTAGATGAGGAAGGAAGAGAGCAGAGAGCGAGGAGGACGACAACGAGAAACAGGGCGGAGCAAAGCCAAGACCAGACCCACAGCGAAGAGACGCAGCAGGGGGTGGAACAACTTGCCATCGCTGGGATGTCCATTCCTCGTGCATTATTCGGTTTCGTGCGCGTATTTGTTCGAAAGGTGGCCCAAAACGCTCCTCGATTGTCCTCGCCGGAAAAAATACACACGTCCGAGCGATGCTGAGACAATGGAGGAACAGGTTGAGGAACCAAACGAGGAGAAAGAGGAGGTCATACGAAGCCAGGACGAGGACACACTGGAGTGAGGATAGATCGAGAGTCTCTGAGATCTGGCGGCTCTAGAGGATGTATCGGGCGCCGCGGCCTTCTCAGAGTGTGCTGGAACGCTCTGAGAGCGTTCTGAAACGCTGGGCAATGGATTATTCCTCGTCCTGGCCCCGCCCGAGGAGGGGAAGGGATGAAAGGAGGGACGAGCAGTGGGCCAGAAAAAGAGAGGGCAACCCGGAGGAACGACTCCCGGAACGAGCAGAAATAGAGCTCGTGCAGCTTCTCCAGCTCGGGGACGTCTTGCCACCCGGGCCACTCCTCGATCTGCCGTATCCTCCCGGGGGGAGGAAGAGGTTGGCAAGAAATCGGATAGTGAGAATGAGAATGTGAAGGATACGGAGATGGAGGAAAAGCGGGAGGAGGAGAAGGAGGATGAGGAGGAGGAAGCGAAGGAGGAGGAGGAGGGGGAGGGGGAGGAAGCCACCCTCCAAGAAGCCTCAACGGTCCACGCCTTCGGGAACAGGTGGGAAGCGCCGAAGAACAAGCGGAGAGCTTCCAAAAACAAGGGGACCTCCTGGAGCCCCAGCAGACCTCCAAGAACAAGCAGGGACCCCCGAAACCCTCGAGCTTGCCCGCGTCATCGGACCACCGAACTCCGCTCAACATCTGCCACCACATTCCTCTCAACCTCCCGCGCCCCCCCCCCCCCGGGAGAGGAAAGCGATTGGGCAGGCGGCGACGTCCGAAGCCCACCCCCCCCGACTCGATGGGAGGCGGGGGGTTCGGGCTCGGCGCTCGCCGCGTGTGCGACGAGCTCCCCTCGAGCTGCCCGACTCCTCGCTGCTCGGCGCGATAGAGAAGGGCTCGGAGCTCGCCGCCGAGCTGGCGGGGGGGGCACCGCTGGGGCCCGCCCCCCTGCTAGGGGGCATCATGCGAACCCTACCCCTCCCCCTCAGAAATCGTGGGGCAGGGGTAGGGTTCGCATGTGGCCCCCAAGCCGAGTTGGCGGGGGGGCACCGATGGGCCCGCCCCCTACCTGCGCAGCCGAGCGCGCGCAAGGAGAGGAGGGGAGGGCACCGCGGCCTCCGCCGCGGAGCGCCGGGCAGGGCCGCGGAGGACCCGGGCTCGCGCGGCGGGAGCAGACCTGCGGGCTCGCTTGCGGCGCGCGGGCGCCGCACGAGCCCGTACCCAGATCGGGTCGGGCGAAAGGGGGGGGGACAGCAAAGGCGGGGGGGGTGAGAAGTAGCCCATCGGGTCGGGCGAAAGAGGGGGATAGCAAAGGGGGGGGTTGAGAATCAGCTCACGTAGCTGATTTTCCCGGCGCCTCCCGGCGCCGGAGGCGGCTATGTATCGAGTAATGGGCCCCTCGGTGAGGCCGAAACCAGCTGCATGCAGCAAATTTCGTACCCCCCCCTTTCCCAATCCACCCCTTTCGCCCGGCCCGAGCCCACGCGGCTGATTCTCCCGGCGCCTCCCAGCGCCAGGGGGGGCGCCCATGTGTCGAGGAAGGGGCCCGGCGGCGGGGCCGAAGTCTGCTGCATGCAGCAGATGTCGTGACCCCCCCTTGCCCTATCCCCCCCTTTCGCTCGGCCCGCCCAGAATTTGGACGCCCGAACTGGGCACGGAAATAATGGGTACTGTGCCCAACAACAAATGGTGTCCCAAACCATCAGCGGCCGCTGTTGGGCAGGCGGCCTTCTGTTGGACAGCGAGTCCTGTTCAAAATGAACAGGAACTGCTGTTGGGCATTATACCCACTCTTTCCGTACCCATTTCGGGCGTCCAGAGGGTTGAGAACTAACCCACGTGGCTGCTTTTCCCGGCGCCTCCCGGTGCTGGGAGGCGCCCTGCATCGAGGACTGGGCCCGGCGGCGGGGTCGAAATCTGCTGCATGCGGCAGATGTCGTACCCCCCCCTTCCCTATAGTCAAAAAGCCTAACAAGGACGCGCGGCAAGCCCTTGGAAGCCGAAGTTGGGATTTTTGGGGCGGCGGACGACGAAAACCCCAAGGACGCAAGAGCAAGGAAGAGCAAGGACGCAAGGGTACCCTGAGCAAAGTCGCGCGTCCTTATTTGGGTTTTTGACTGTACCCCCCCCTCTCGTGCGGCCCGACCAGAAGGGGGGGACGGAGGGGGCCGAGGGGCGCGTGCTGTCGAACGGGGGCCCTCGCTCGAACGGGAGCCTCCTCCCCCCCGGGGCCCGACGACCCGCACCCGTGCCCACAGCCAGTCCTCCCGCCGCCGAAGCCCCCCACGGGAATGGGTGCGTGCGTGTGTGTTTAACCAGCCTCCAACGTATCCCTATCCCTAAGATGGGCGAGCAAAAAGCGAGGACAGTCTTAGGGATAGGCCCTCAGAAACTGAGGGACTCCTCAAGATCGGCATCAAGGCGAGGTGATGTCAAACATAGGGATAGGGATATGTTTCAATCTGGTAAGTGTTCTCCGTTCGTCACCGTGGGTCCGCGAAGGCTCGTTTTTCTGAGCGCCCCCCTCCCGAGTGCAGCAGCTCCTCTGTGAGCCCGCGGGCGCCAGCGGCCTCCAGGCCCAGCGCAGCGCCGGAACCGCAACAGCACGGGCAACCCTCGATCCCAGCGGTAGGGGAGCAGGGCCGATGCATTTGCGTCCTCCTCCCATCCTCCTCCTCCCATCATCCTCCTCGTCCTCCTACTCGTCCTCCCCCTCGTCGTCGTCGTCTTCCTCCTCTTCCTCCTCCTCCTCGCCCTACTCCTCCTCGTCCTCCTCCTCCTCCTCCTCGTCCTCCTTCTCCTCCTCGTCCTCCTCCTCGTCCTCGTCGTCTTCCTCCTCCTCGCTCCTCCTCCTCCTCCTCCTCCTCGTGGCTCCTCCTCCAGCGGCGGCCGACACCTCGCACGAGGCCCGCGCGGGCTCCCGGGACGGGCGCTCCGCCTCACCTCTCTCTCCGGGGCGGCCCTCCCTGGCGCGTGGGCAGGCGCGCTTTCGCGGGGGGGGGGGGGGGGCGGGCGCCCGAGGCGCCGCCAGCGGGCGGGGGAGGGAGGCGCAGCGCCGATCAGGGAGCAAAACTCCGCGCGGGCGGCTTGCCACCTCCTCCTCCTCCTCCTCCTCTTCCTCCTCCTCCTCCTCCCCTCCTCCTCCTCCTCCTCCTCCTCCTAATCATCATCATCATCATCATCATCATCATCATCATCATCATCATCATCATCATCATCATCATCATCATCATCATCATCATCATCCTCAACATCATCATCATCATCATCCACCACCACCACACCAACCCATCATCATCCATCATCATCATCATCATCATCATCATCATATTCATCATATCTCATCACCACCACCACCATCATCATATCATCATCATCACCACCACCACCACCACCACCACCACCATCATCATCATCATCATCATCATCATCATCATCATCATCATCATCATCATCATCATCATCATCATCATCACCATCATCATCATCCCTCCTCCTCCTGCTTGTGGTGGCGTCCGCGCGCGTCGCCTCGTGCACGGCAGGCCTTGGGGCAGGACTGGGCAGAAGGGGAGGGCGGACTCTTCGGGGGTCCCCACGGGGAAGGGGAACCGGGAGGTGAGGCGACAGGGGGGCTTGAGATGGCAAGAGGGGGCCAGAGGGATGGAGAGAGTGGAGACCTGACGACACGAGGATCGGGAGAGGGTGCTTTTTCTGATTGTGGCATTGACTGTGAAATGGAACAGGGGGACGATAGTGACATTGCATCGCAGCGCAACATCGTCATCACGCGTCGTCGCTAACTCGAAGGCGCGTCACCAGCATCGTCAGCATTACACTCATCGCACTTGGGCCAGCAGTTGGCTCTTTCCACCCCGCTCCCCAACCCGCCCTGGAGCCGTCCTGGGCGTGCCGCTTCCACGACGCTGTGCCCAAGAGGCTCGGCTCCGAGACCCTGGTCACTGCGTCTCAGCCTGCCTGTCGGTTGGTTGGTCATGCTGCTCCTTCCCCCCTCGAGTGTATCATCCTCCTCCTCCCCTCTCTTAACGGGCGAAGAACGGTATAACATTAACTTTTTTGCTGTCGGGGGCGCCTGTCCCAAGGCGGCTGGAAAATTTATACCCTTACGGTGGCACCGTAGGGGTATAAACTTTCCAGCCGCTCAGGGACAGGCGCCCCCGACAGCGAAAAAGTTTATGTTATACCGTTCTTCGCTCCAAGACTCTCATTCGCATAACAAGACTTTCTGAGTTCGGATCGGCGCTGGACCACCCTCCCTGGCTCCTGGCGCGGGGAGCCGCGCTCTGGGGGGTGCACTGGAGGCGCTGCCAGCGGAGTCCCGCGTCGATTCGGAGCTCCGAACATGTCTGACGGTGCCGCAGTCTCTTGTTCGCTTGTCCTGCATTCCCACTTGGTTCTTCAGCACCTCCTCCTCCACTCGCACCCCTCTTTTCGCTCCGCCGCTCCTCCCCCCGTCCTGTGGGCGAAGCGCTTCGGCAACTCTCGCCGCATCAACTCCGCTGCCTTGTGCGGCGTGTTGGCGTCCAAGACCTGCCGAGGGCCAGGAGGAGAGGGCGAGAGGAGCAGCAGGTAGAGCAGCAGCAGGCGCAGAGGGGGCAGAAACAGGAGCGAGTATAGCCTGGCGGAACGAGCGGAAAGAACAGAACAAGATCAACGCCGGAGCATGTCCATGCAGAGATTAGATCGAGGAGCATCGGGGACGACGGATAAAGATGAGGAAGCGAGGAGGAGGAGGAGGCGGATGATGAGGAGGAGGCGGGAGAGAGCTGAGAAAGAGGAGGCAGAGGACACAGATTACGCCCCCCCCGCGCCCCCCCCTCCCTTCCCCCCCACCGAGGCCTTGTCTGGCGGCCGTCTCCCCTCGCCCTGTTCCCTGCTGGAGGGGGAGAAAGGAAGTTTGGAGGATGGGGCGAAGAGGGAGGAGGAAGCGAGGAGGTAGTGAGGAGGAAGTGAGGAGGAGGAGGTGGGGAGGAGGAAGTGAGGAGGCTGAAGAGGAGGAGGAGGAGGAGGAGGAGGAGGAAGAGGAGGAGGAGGAGGAAGAGGCGAAGATGAGGAAGTGAGGACGAGGAGGTGAGAAGAAGTGCTGCTAAGCTGCTAGAGCAAAGAGACACTGCATAAACAACAACTGTCGAGTGTCCGCGCGGATTTCTTGGATCTGCGCTGGCCCGCCTCCCTGGCGCCCGGAGGCGCCGCCAGGGAGCCCCCGGCGCAGATCCAAGACATCCGCGCGGACCGCCGAACATCATGTAATGTTGATGCAGTGTGTTCTTCTTCTTCTTCTTATTATTCTTCGGGAGGCGGGAGAGGAAGACGAAAGTGACAGCGGAGCCGGCGACAGGGCGGGGAGAGCCCAGCACCCGCGCCATGCGGAGCGCTCCAAGCGCTCGGGGCGGAGCCACGCGCTCGGGGCACGACGCCGAGCCTCGGTCGCTCGACCGACGATCGACGAACCGGGTGCGTCCGGGAAGGGTGGCTCCCAAAGAAGGGCCCCCTGATCCTTTGGGAACAGACCTAGGTCAAGAGAACCAAAGCACTCGGGATAGGGGACGTGTCCCAGCAGGTGCAGGAAGCGGCACCGCCCATATGGACTCCCCCGCATGCCGAGACGGGGACCGGAGCTGGGCCACGTCTTCTTCGCTGCGTCCTTGGGGTTGGGGGCCCTCGAATTCTCGATAGAAGGTCCTCGAATTCTCGATAGAAGGGCCCTCGAATTCTCGATAGAAGGACCTGAGCTGGGCCACGCTTTCGCTGCGTCCTTGGGGTTAGGGGCCCTCGAATACTCGATCCGAAGGGCCTCCGCACAGCATGGTCAGCGGGAGGTGCGCGGCCCAGAGAAGCAGACAGCCTCCACGCCTCGCGCCTCCTGGGTGCAGCAGGCCAAGACGGCAGCTGCAGTGGAGGGGCGTGCAGCCGCCAGGGGGGGGGGAGCCTCTGCCGGGGGCCCCCCTCCACCAGGGGGGCGGGGGGCGCACACTCATCGAGGCACGACGGCCCTCCCCCGGACCCAGGGGCCCAAGGGCGACCCCCAAGACGCCCAGCACTCCCCCGATCATCGACACCTCCTGCCCCTCGACCCTCTGCTCCCTCGAGCTTCCTCGACTCCCTCTCGACCTTAGTGGGCCCTGGAAACGACAGGGCCGTTTTTTTACCGGTTTCGTTCTGCCGTTGTCTTGCCGGTTCCGACGACGCCGTTCTTTTACCGGTCCCGTCGCCGTTTTTTGACTGGTTCCGGCCCCGGTTCCAATCCTGGAGCCGTTGTTTGCCGCTTCCGGTCGCCGTTTCCATTTCAAGGGGCATTTTTTCAAGGGGCCCTGCCGTTTCTGGGGCCCACGAAGCCCTCGACCCTTCTCGAACTTCCGCGCCCCCCCCTTCACTTCCGCTCCGAAGCCACGCAGAAAACGGGCGGCAAGCCCGCCGCGGCCCCGCGGGCCTGGCGCAGCGACAGCGGCGTCAGCACCTCGCCGCGCGCGCGGGGCGCCGCGTTCCGCGCCGCGCGCCGCGCCCCGCTGGACCCCTGCGTGAAGTTCAGGGCGCAGGCAGAGTGGATTGCACGAGGCTTCTTGCGTCGGCGGCCGGGCAGAGCAGCTGCGCTGGCGATGGGCTGCCTATACGGGGGTGCCCTTGTGGCGAACTGTGCCACCGTGTAGGAGGAGGAGGAGGAGGAGGAGGAGGAGGAGGAGGAGGAGGAGGAGGAGGAGGAGGAGGAGGAGGAGGAGGAGAGGAGGAGGAGGAGGAGGAGGGAGGAGGGGGGAGGAGAGGAGGAGGAGGACGGAGGGAGGGAGGAGGAGGAGGAGGAGGAGGAGGAGGAGGAGGAGGAGGAGGAGGAGGAGGAGGAGGAGGAGGAGGAGGAGGAAGGAGGAGGAGGAGAGGAGGAGGAGGAGGAGGAGGAAGGAGGAGGAGGAGGAGGAGGAGGAGGAGGAGGAGGAGGAGGAGGAGGAGGGAGGGGGAGGAGGGTTGGGAGAGGGCAGAGGACGCGGCCGAAAAGGGGGGGAGGCGGGGAGCGAGGCCGCTCAGCGGGACGGGTCGCGCCCCGCGCGCGGCGCGGCCGCGCCCCGCCGGGCGGGGCCGCGGCGGCTGCTGCGCAAGGGGGAGGGGGCCGGCGGCGGCGGAGTGCACGGGACACGCCACAAGATACGTACAAGACTCCTCTATGGGCCCTGGAAACGGCAAGGCCGTTTCTTTTTTACCGTTTCCAGAAAAATGTCCCTTAACCACGGCGACCGGAAACGGCAACAAAAACGGCTCCAGGATCGGAACCGGAGCCGGAACCGGTCAAAAAACGGCGACGGAACCGGTAAAAAAACGGCGTCGGAACCGGCAACAAAAACGGCAGAACGGAACCGGTACCAAAACGGCCCTGTCTTTTCCAGGGCCCACTAAGCAAGACTCTTCCGCGGGCAACATTCGGCGTTGGGTAAACCTCTCATTAGTAAACCTCCCCTGAGTGGAAACGGCCTGGGACGTCGACCGACGGACCTGGACCCGCAAAAATGGCGGCCGCGACGCCCTCTCGCGAACCGAAAACGGCCAATTCCTTCATCGACGTGTCAAGCTAGGAGGTCTATCAAACTCCGAAACGGTCCGTCAACCTCCGAGAAGTGGCCTCCGACACCATTGGGCACCACGGTGCCCTTGCCCCGGGACTGCCAGAGGACACGGCGCGCGGTGCACAGCGCACGAGGAGTATACCCTTGCTTCTTGGCAGGGTCCACCTACTGGGGCTCCCACCTTCGCGCTTCGCGCTCCGCGAAGCGCGAATAGCTTCGCGCTCTCGCGCCGCCCCCCCAGAGGGGGAAGAGGAGGGCGAGGAGGAGGGGGAGAAGGAACGAGGACCGCGAAGCGCGAATCACTTCGCGCCCTCATGGGAGCCCTTGACCTACCACTCCGGGCCGACCGCCGGGCGCGGCTGCGCCCTCCGCGGCGCGCGCTCGTGCTCTGGACGGCCCCGGGGCGGCTCGGGGCCCCTATAGCCGAGGCGTGGCCCGGCGGCCGCGGCCGGCCCCTCTCCCCGCTCGGCCCTGCCACGGAGGGGGCAGCCAACGAGGGGCATGGAGGAGGGGGAGACGAGGAGGAGGGGGAGGAGGAGGAGGTGGAGGAGGAGGAGGAGGAGGAGGAGGAGGAGGCGCGAGGAGGAGGAGGAGGAGGAGGAGGAGCGGCACGCGGCTGAGGAGGGGGGGGCAGGAGAGGTCCCGCGGCAGTCCTTGCCTAGCTCAGCAGCTCCTTTAGGCCAGCGTTGTGCCGAACCTGTTGGCGGAGCCTCGCAGCGAATGCATTCCTCGCGAAGGATGGGGGTCTTTGCTCCCTGGCTCTACTTTGATTATAAGCATAGTGAACGAGATCGATGGCAATGGCGTGGAGGCAGCAGGAGTCGGAGCCCGCCGAGCCCCAGAGAGAGGGGAGAAAATCGGAGAAAGGACGAGAGGCCACCCAACCCGCAGGGAGAGCGGGGAGGACGGAGGAAAGACACAAAATCACATGAGGACATCTGAAATAGTGCTCTATACAGTCGCCCCCCATATTTGCACAACCTAACCTGCAAATCTGAGCTCCGCCTCGGAAGCGCCTCGAAGTGGGCCACGCATTGAAGATGGTCCTAATTGCAGCACTTGTTATGCTGGGAGGGCATCTCTGGCTGATCATCTTCAGTCTAAGGAAAACGCGGTCAAACTCGGGACCAGAGGCCTCAGGGGTCCAATAACGGAGCCTCGGGGAGGTGATTTCACCAGCAGTGGGTTCACGGAAAATCTCTTGTTTTAAAGACTTAGTTATACGATTCTGCAGCAAACCAGGCCTCACACCGTGGGGAAATCCAGGAACAGGATGATATCTTTCAACTGCTCTGTTCATGTGGGCAACGATGGAGTTGGACGAGGGGAACGAGATAACTCTGGCGATGCACTGGTCATCGTCTTCTCTGATCTCCGCGAGCCAGTCTTTCATTCTCCAGAAGGCATCAGAACGGGTGGCGGCACGCAGCAGAGCGGCAGGAGCGGTGACTCGAACTTCTTTGGCCTCGCACTCGAAACCGATCTTTTTCATGTGGTGCAGGGCGAGCGGGGAGAATGCGTACCGAGGGGCGTTGGTCAGCCGCTGCAAGCCCTCGCGGGCCTTGACGTGAACGAGCTTGCTGGGCTCGTAGCACTGGGCGACATGGGAGAGGACGGGGAGAGCGAAGGTGTTGTACGCGGAGAGGGAGAGGTTCAGCCCCAGCTTCAGGCCCATGATGCACGTGCATCTGTCGAACAACTTCTGAGCAGGTGCGCACCAGCTCTCAATGTGCCCATCTGGGCCCACGATCGCACCAAGGTAGAGGCCACTGGATCCAAACGAAAACTTTTTAACATTCATCCTGGGGGTGTTGTCCCTGAACATCTGGACCAGGGACTCCTTGTCATTGACGTGCAAGATCATAATGTGGCACTTACCAAGGTTCAATACAAGGCCCGTCCACTGCCCTGAGGTCGCGAGCTCACGGACGACCAGGGGCAAGACGGCAAGTAGGTTCCTGGCCACGAGCGCTATGTCATCTGCAAAGCACGGCAGGATGAATTCGTAAGACTGCTGGAATCTCTTGACTTTGACGAGAACGGGGTGGAGGATGATGGCAAATAGGACCCCGCTCATCGGGCAACCTTGCTTCATTCCCCTGGAGACCCAAAAGCCACAAGCGGAAGCCCCAGGAAACGGAACCATGGTCCAATTCTGGTCGTACAGGGAGTGAATCGCGAGGCGGATGCAAGTCGGGATACCTAACTTATCAAGCACGGCAGCGATCCAGTCGTGGAAAACCGATGGGAACGCCTGCTTAAAGTCGAAAAGCGTGGCGCCGCTGTCCTTCTGCCCGTAGAGATCACCCCAAAACTGATAGTGCGCATCGAATTCGACGAGGTTGTCAATGAGCGATCGGCCCTTCACGAAACCCCTCTGGGAGCAGTCGACGACATCGGCAGCGACGGCATTCAGCGGCGAGGCAACGGCGGCCGAGACGATTTTGTTGTCGGCGTTGCTCAAGGACAGCGGTCTAGTTACACTTGGCGGGCGGGCCTCGGTACCACTTCCTGAGAGGGAACCTTTAGGAAGGAAGATCATCTTACAGTAGTTGAAGGACGGGGCGAGACGATTACCAGTCATCAGGTGGGTGTAGAGGTTGCACAATAAATCGTATCCCAGGGAACCGATAGCTCTCCACCCGGACTATCGGATGCCGTCAGGGCCGGGGGCCGAGTCTTTTTTTTTTTTACGCTGGGCCATGTCAACGAATTCGCCTTTACTCAAAATCCAATTGTGGCACGTGTGGGCGCTGCTGACAAATTGGCCCCCATTACTGTGCACAGGCGAGAGGCACTCCAGCAACGGCGACGCGCGCGCATCAGGGTGCTGGGAGTTGGAGAATATCTTTCCCCAGTACTCGGCAAGCAACTCAGCCATCTTATCAGGCTCTGTGGCGTGCGCGCCTCCAGGCTCCACCACAGCCGCGAGATGGATGCGAGGACGGGTCCGTGCCCATGCAGCTGAAAGCCTGCGAATGCGGGCTAGGTGCGAGTCCTTCTGGGCACTGGTGTAGGAGGGGTCGTTGCGAACTTCATTTTCTTCCCGAGCGAACTCCTGGACCATAATCTGTCGAAAGCGTTCCAGAAAACCAGGCATATCAGTCCAAACCATCAACTCAATATCGTAAAACTCCGAAAGCTCAGAAAATCCAGACAGGGCTCGGGAGGCAAGACGACGGTGGTTCCCCCGATGGGCCCTCAGGAGCTTGAGACACTGTGCAGCTTTGGATGGGTTACAGTTGGCCCCAAATTCTTCAACATAATATTTGACCTCCCTGGCGGCAGCTTGCATGAGGCTCTTCACCTCGAGAATAGCCGTCGGCGGGTCAAGGCTGAGCTCGTTGGCCTCCGCCAACGAGTCGAACGAGACGCGAAACTGAGCGTGCTTAAATATCCAGCTTGCAATAGGAGGAAGAGGAATGTCACACCTATCTTCGTTAGATACAGGAAAACCTTCAGGCCGATGAAAGGGGCGAAGCACTAGATGAACAGGGGCGTGATCCGAGGGACCTTACTATCAGATATGTCTAAGTCTGTCGTGGAGAGTGGGTTGAAGTCGAGGGCGATGGGGGTCGGCAGGCTAGTGAGAATTCTGTCGGGTCGAGCGAAGCTTGGTGTATTTCGAACATTAGCACGATGGGTGTAGTGAGGCTGTTCGACTTCAACGTATGAGGGGAAGATCGAGTCAAAATGCTTTGCAATCTTGGAAAAAGCAGCGAGCGTCTCGCCCGTCCCAACAACCTACCTGCTTTCACCCGTAACTGAGAAGTTAAAGTCGCCGACGAGGAAGGATGTGGCAAGAGAACCAGGGGAGAGATGCGTGCGCAGCGAGTAGAGCCTTGGTGCGAGTCTCGCTCCAGTCGGGAACAAGGTGCAAGTTGGCGATCTGTAAACGGCCTCTGGGTCC